CTGTCCTATGGCATTTCCTGGGTGTTTTTTGTAGTTTCTGAAGTCTTCTGACTGTGGACAGTATAGTGTAAAATGGACACTTTATTTTCCATACAAAGCATCCTGATCTCCTTTTTTTTGCTAATAATCTTTTATTCCTTTTAGGAAATGACTTTCCACGTTCTGTGAGATTTTGGTGAGAGTGTCAAAGTTTCTCAAGCACCATAAGCCAGTTAAGCTACAACAATTGAATTTTTTCTCCCAGAGAGTTACATATAGTGTATGACCAGTGATGCAGTAATCATGTTGCACGATACACTCAATTTTCTCAAGTCCAGTGAACTTCCTGGCTTATCTCCAGGATGAGATAAGACGTTTTAGGCTAGACATATCCGTTGTCAATCACATTAATTATGAAAGTAATTATTTACATTTAATACTTAAAATTTGCACACAGGGCTATATTTTTATTTATAGGCATTGAGAAAGTGACAGCAGTTGCATGGTAGTTTGTTAGGAAGAGGAAGTCTGGAATACAAATCTAGGATTTTTTTCATGTCTTCCCTTGACAAGTATCTATGGGAAAAGTGTGGAGATTTGTAACACTCACTGTGGAAAAGAAGACCAGGTGCACTTTTGAGGTTTTTAACTAATGCCCTAAATTGTGTATATTTAGATTTCTACGAAGTGGGAAGATATCCCAAATATTTTCATAACGTATTGAGAATTTATAGAATAAGAAAACAATTTGGGCTGTAGCTTATTTATGTTTCATAGTGCAAATATAATACTAATTTTGTTGGCCTCTGTATGCATAGACAGCTAAACCATAAGCAACAGCATTTTAAAATAAAAGTATTGTGAACATCTTTTATAAATCCATGAGAACTAATATATGGATCTAGTGTATAGTAGATATTTAGTGTATGTTCATTGACTTTGTTTATTTAGTGAACATTTAGGTGGCAGTTAATATGTTACATCTTTATATCAAAGCTGAGTTCCCCCCTTTACAGATGAAGATTCTGAAGTCATGGAAAGACCAAATAACTTGTCAAAGGTTCCACAGCTGGAGATGAACCAATCTGGCTAACAAGTCAATTTTATTAATTACTAGATGTCTCTGTGAAATGAAATGATGAACAACATGCATTAAACAATTATTTTAATTAACATCAATATCTGGTGCTAATAAAAATAATTGTGTTCACTTATTTAACAATTATTTAACACCTAGCATATGCTAGGCACTGTACTATGTACTGAGACTGTAGCCTGAACAAAATAAGCACAGTGTCTGACATTATAGACTTTATTATGCTCTAGTGAGAATTATGTAAGGCTATTAATATTTTAAAATCCTCTTGTTTCAAGTTTCTTAAATGCTAGGACTATGTCTTTTGTCTATTTTCCTGACTTCCAGCTCAGTTAATGGTGGATGTTAAAGAATGCATGAATAAAAGAAAGAAAAAGTGAATGAAAATACAACCTGCAGTGTTTCTTCACTTTTATTTTTTATTTGAAACTGTTTCCTGAGGAGTAAAATACATTCATGCAGAGAACATTTCATTCTGTAGAAATTTTCTAACTATAATTATCACTAAAGTTTCAAGGGTTTTTTTTTTTTTAAATAAATTTATTTAGTTAGTTAGTTTTGGCTGTGTTGGGTCTTCATTGCTGTGTGCGGGCTTTCTCTACTTGTGGTGAGCGGGGGCTACTCTTTGTTGCGGTGTGCGGACTTCTCATTGCGGTGGCTTCTCTTGTTGTGGAGCACGGGCTCTAGGCACGTGGGCTTCAGTAGTTGTGGCATGCGGGCTCAGTAGTTGTGGCTCGCGGGCTCTAGAGCGCAGGCTCAGTAGTTGTGGCACACAGGCTTAGTTGCTCTGCAGCATGTGGTATCTTCCCGGACCAGAGATCGAACCTATGTCCCCTGAATTGGCAGGCGGATTCTTAACCACTGTGCCACGAGGGAAGTCCAAGTTTCAAGTTTTGAAGAAAGGAAAACATGTTATTTGGGAAATAGGAGCATTATTTAAAGGGGCAGAAAATATGGTGTGACATTTTAAAGCATTTATGTAAAGTTATTCTGTATAATGGAGAGTGGGCTAATTAAAATGCTTATTAGGTTAATGTATAAATGAAACCTGTCTTAGTCTCTTCTTTTTAACTCAGTTATGGTCACAGTTATAGAACACACAAATTAGAAAAATCAAAGTTTACCAAACCTTACGTATGGAGGATGGGGGTACAAATGGCATATATCTTTTCAAACAGCACTTGAAACTTCAGAAAAAACGGAACTTGGAACTTAAGAAAAAACGCATGACAATCATTTCATTTATTAAAATAATACCGAATAATTTCTACTTTATTGGTTTATCCTCAGCATATGATACTTAGATATGTAGCCCTTGACCTAATAGGAATCAAAATAGAGGTGGTTCTACTTCAAGAATTTGTAATAATCCCTTCACTTTAACACATGAATGTGTTCAATATTGGCAAAAGAACATGTTGCTACCAAAACTGAAATAAGATCCTTGAAACAAAAAGGATGTTGCCATGGAAAAATGAAGTAACACTCAGTGCAGCTGTGATGCATTAATGAATAGGATATTTTTTTAAAAGATCATTTGTGTTTGGTGTGGCTCAGAGGGTCCCAACCAGATGGTTTCCATGAACATGATCTGACCCCCGGTTTGAGGACTTCTTACTGGCAGATTACTTCATTTTCTTTCCCTTGGATTGTCAGATCCTTACATTAATACAAAATTTACTGCTGCAGATTTATATTCACTTATATAAATCACTCAACATTTTACATTAAAACCACAATTTTAGACATACAGTTTAACAGTTATTTTAAAAGTGTAAAAAGATTTATGTGATAGCTTTAGTATACATAATAGATGTAACATTATAATAAGTTTGAACAATTTGGATTATGTATATGTTTTAGTTCTTATCATTAAAAGAATCCCCACAGTATACATCATTTTTTAGAAAGTTTATTTTTTACACTTGTTATATATGTCAGGCTAACATACTGTCGATTCTGTATGCATTGCTCAGGTTGTTTTAATTTGATTAAATAATTGATTTCCAAATTAGTGGAAATTTGGAATATATTGTGATTTTGGAAATTTCGGCACAATTTAAATTTGTTTCTCAGGAAATGTATGTATAAATCTGTGTACGGCAGCATATTAAACTAATTATCTCACATTGTTGGAAGCATTTTTCAACATAGCATCAATATCTAACACAGGGACTTCCCTGGTGGTCCAGTGGCTAAGCCTCCGTACTCCCAATGCAAGGGGCCCAGGTTTGATTGCTGGTCAGGGAACTAGATCTCACATGCTGCAACTAAGAATTCGTACGCTGCAACTAAAAGATATCACATGCTGCAATGAAGATCCCGAGTGCCACAATGAAGATCCCGCATGCCGCAACTAAGACCCAGCACAGCCAAATAAATTAAATAAATAAATAAATATTTTTTAAAAATCTAACATAAAGTGTTAAACACTGACCCTTCATTGTTTGACCTTAAAACCGTAATTAATATAGGAGAATATGCTGTCAGTGTGCCACTTTAGCTTGTGCACTTTAACATCACTAATGCAGTTATATATTTTAAAACATAAATGTAATAACATCTGAGACAATATACACTTCTATTTCAGAAGTTAAAAATGTTGTGATCTTAAACCAACAATGAATTACTTAACCATATACATGCTTAAATTAAGCTACAAGATAAAATTCTAAACCTAAAAAATCTCATACTTCATGAACCAACATACTTTTTTTTTTGCATAAGTTTACTTATATTTCTCTTCACTGAGTTCATCAATTTGTCCATGCACAGAAATATTGAAGGGAAAATGAGTAAGTGTACTTAATTTGTAAGAATGGCAAATTATTTATCATATCAAGGAATTCCAGACCTGTTACATATCATGCTCTCACTAAGGAATATATTAACCCCAAGAAAAGGTTATTACTTTATTCTTAGTTATCTTTTATAAAATATGATCTCTTTGTTATTTTAAGTTGCGAGACTATCCAAACATTTTTCAAGCAAACAAATTTTAGTTTTTATTAGATAATACCTTTGTATGACAAATATTTTCTAGAAAATTAAAGGTTATATTTTGTATTTTCTTAAAAATAATTTAAGTATGGTAGGCTATTTGGGCAGTTTACTAACCAGGTACAGAATATTACCTTGTACAAGAGTCACCTAAGACTAATAGGCTTTAACTTACATTGCTTTTGAATTAAAAACTCATGATGTATTCAATTTTTTATTTGGTCTTGCTTAGTCTTACTTTAGCTCTGTTAGGGCCTGGCGACCTAAGTAACTACACTGGGCATAGGGGAACATAAAAATTTCACTTGAAATCATAATTTAGGTAATAAGTTGAAGTATGATAAAAGTAAGGAATAACACTCTGATTTTTAAGTCTCCTGAATTTTCTTCATTACTATATGTTATAAACATGTTCTCCTTTAATGTTTGTCTAGAGATGTAATCTGAACATTTAAAATATTCTTTTCTTAAATTTCAGTATGTGAAGTAAGGGACAAATTCACATAGATATAGCTGTTTGTGGTTTTCTATTTTTTAAAGTAAGAGCAATAAAATGCTAGTCCATTCTAAGGCCTTAGCTGGTGTTAACAAAATGTAATGAACTGCAAAAAAAGGATTTTCTCACCTTTTTTTGCCAGCACATTTTCTAACTCAATCATGTTTCTTGGAAAGAACTGTGGAAAGGCAGATACGTTTTCATTTCATGTCACTGTGCTCTTTTGATCAAATTTATAGCAAGAAACAATACCTTTTCAAGTGTTTGTTGTATTCTTTAGTGAAAGTAACTCATAAAGACATAAGTATGGGGCATTTTCTTTTTTTTGGCTTGCCTGTGTATTCTGGTAAAGATATTAGATGTTTGAGGATACATTTACTCTCAAATTTAGTCTGATCCAAATATTTTGATTTTGCTTTTCTTTTCTAGCTTGAAGTACAATCTTGTTGTGTGTTCATCCCAAGTGATAGCTTGCCTTCCCCAAGTACAATTGTATCTGGTGACATTCCTGGAACAGTAAGAAGTTGGTACCATGGACAAACCAGCATGCCAGGAACACTTGTCCTCTGTTTGCCTCAAATAAAGATTGTTAGTGCTGGCCACAAGTATATGGAACCTCTGCAGGAGATTCCTTTTGTCATCCCACGACCCATCCTTGAAGAAGGTACTTTTTAAAAAAATTCTTCCTATGGTTATTTTACTATGTTTATTATATTTTATACTGATATTTTTAGTTTTACTGCTTTTTTTTTTTAATGCCAGTGCATTTCTGAATCAGTCTTCTCATTGAAAGAACTGCATGGAAATGAACTAAGTGATTTACAAAGTGAATGAATGAAATGATGATGTTTGTTGATAGCCACACCTTTTATATATATGGAGACTATCTACAAAAGATCATATAGAATACAGTATGATCACTGAAATGCTAAACATAGATAAAATTAACTTGAGAAGGATGTTGGTTTCAGATGTTTGCATTAGGCTGAACTAAGAATTATAAGTAGGTTGATTTTAATTTAAGCCACTTGACTTATGAATGGATGCTTCATAAATACATAATCAAATGAATACATTATTTACAGCAAGCATGCTATATTTCTAGATTACTCATTTATTTAAATAAAGTAGATAATTGTGTGATGATTGGAGCCATGGATCTTTCTTCAGTAAATACTTGATTTCTGATGTTGCAGTGTTTTCAGTTGTAGGTTCATACCCTTTTGAACTTTGATGTATTCATTTCAAACTGTGTGAACCTGGAGAAGTTTTGAGTCACAAAGTAAATAATGTGAATCTATATTTTAATAACAAGCCTGAAATTTTTTGACAGTGCTAAATAGGTCAACACCTTGTTCATATTATTAGGATGTAAGCGTCTGAATCCTGATATCGTTCAGATTACCACAGTACTGTTATTGAAAAGCAGGTACAGTCTGCAATTTTTGATTTTGACTTAATGTCGATTTCTCTCTCCTTTTCTCTATTGAAATTTCCATTGAAATCTAGTTTTCATAGGTTTATCAAAAGTAAGCATGATTTTACTGGCAGAAATTAATGTTGGTACTTAATGATATGAATACCATTATCATAAAATCATAGAATTGTGAGAGTTAGAAGGAACTTCTTTAGAGTTCTTCTTAAGTGCTTTTTGTCTTGATAATTTCTCTAGCATATTGGACATAGCCATTCTTTGTCATTTGTTTTCAGTTATAGGGAATTCCTTATTATCACAATAGCTATTACATGTCATATCAAAGATATGCTAGAGTGAAGTGAGCTCATAAAGCTCATAAAGTGAGCTGGGAGTGCTTCCTCCTTTTTTTTAAAATTTTAACTCTGGAATAATTTTTGTAAGATTAAATGATTTGTACCTTGATTTTTTGTTAAAACTCATTGATAAAATTCACATATTGTAAAATTCTTCCATTTAAAGTATACAGTTAGATGATTTTTAGTGTATTTACAAGTTTTATGCAACCATCACTATAAAATTTTAGAATAATTTTATCACCTTAAAAAGAATTGGTATATCATTAGCACCTACTCCTCTTTCTCCCTTCCCCCCAGACCCTACGAACCACTTGTCTTTCTATCCCTATGAATTTGCTTCTTCTAGACATTTCATATGAATGAAATAACAAAATTTGTGGTCTTTTGTGACTGGCTTCTTTCACTTACCATTATAAGTGGTAAGTGAAAGAAGCCATCTTTCACTTCTTTCATAGAACCATTGTTATAGTATGTATGTCTTCATTCCTTTTTATGGCTGAATAATAATTCATTTTATGGTTATACCACATTTTATTTATTCATTACTTGATGGGTATTTGGGTTGTTTCCACTTTTTGGCTATTATCAATAATGCTGCTATGATCATTCTTGTACACTGTTTTGCATGGATATATGTTTTAATTTCTATTAGATATATATAGTAGAATTGTTGGGTCATTTGGTAACTCTGTGCTTTAGCTTTTGAGGAATTGACAAGACTGTTTTTCAAAATATCTGTGCCATTTTACAATCCCACACCAATGAATGAAGGTTCTAATTTATTCACATATTTTTATGTGCAAGTATAGTTGATTTACAATATTAATTTATCCATATCTGTGTCACCACTTATTATTGTTCTCTTGTTATTGTCTTATTGGTTCTAGCCTTCTCAGTGGGTGGGAAGTGGTATCTAGTGGTGTTGATTTTCATTTCCGTAATGTCTAATGATTTTGAGCATCTTTTCATGTGCTCAGTGGCCATTTGTAGATCCTGTTCTGTATTTTCTTCTTCTATTCAAATCCTTTCTTTTTCAAAATATTTTTAAATTTATTTTGGCTGCACTGGGTCTTAGTTGCGGCACGTGGGATCTTCGTTGTGGCATGTGGGATTTTCAGTTGCGGCATGCAGCCTTCTTACTTGCAGCATGCAGACTCTTTAGTGGCAGCATGTGAACTCTTAGTTGTGGCATGTGGGCTTCTTAGTTGCAGCATGTATGCAGGATCTAGTTCCCCGACCAGGGATCAAACCCGGGCCCCCTGCATTGGGAGCACGGAGTCTTACCCACTGGACCACCAGGGAAGTCCCTTTTCAAATCCTTTGCCCACTTTTTAGTTGGGTTATTTGTCTCTTTATTGTTGAGTTGTAAGAGTTCCTTATATATTCTAATATTAGACACTTATTAGATATGTGATTTGCAAATATTTTCTCCCATTTCTCCCATCCTCCATTTCTCCTGTTATCTGTTCACTATCTTGTTTGAATTTATTTAGTTGTTTAAATAACAGTTTTTTTCCTTTATACTGTAATATATGTTATTTTAATTCCTTTTTTCTCCTGCTATATTGGAAAGTATTCCTTAACTGTTTTTCTTTCAATCTTAGAAATTAACACCCTTTCCTCAAAGTCAGCTCTGGTCCTAGAAATATTAAGCTGCATATTTAATTTATTAAATTATGCATTAAATCAAGTTATTTACTCTGCTACTGAACAACACACAGGTCTTAAAATACTTTAATTCAATCATCCTCTCTGGATTAATGGTTTATCACTTAAAAAAATAATTGCTTATATTTATTGCATATATATATAATCAGGGCAGGGTTTGGAAAATTTATTTAGTAAAGAGCCAGATAGTAAATATTTTCAGTTTTACCAGTTATGTGGTCTTGTTGCAACTACTCAACTCTGCTTTGGAGTGCAGAAGCAGCCATAGGCAATATGTTGATGAACTGACATGACTGTGTTTCTTTGAAACTTTATTTACAAAATCTGATAGCCAGATTTGGTCATGGGCCATGTTTGTGGACTCCTATACTAGTGCCTTACTAGACATTCCTTCTTACAATTCAGTCCTTTATTCTATCTCAGACCATTTTCCTTTTGCCTTTTAGTGATGATATGTTGTTAGCAAACTTAATTTTGTTTGTTTGAAAATGTCTTTATTTTGCCCTCCTTTTTGAAAGATATATTGGTGGATATATAATTTCTTTGTTGGTAGTTATTTTTGTCTGACCCATTAAAAATTCCATTGTGCTGACTCTTGCTTTTCATTGTCCTATTGACAATGAAAATATTTATCTGCAATGTCCACTTGCAGTTTGTGTTTCTTTGAAGGTATTTTGTCCTTCCTCTCTGGCAGCTTTCAGAATTTTTTAAATCTTTGTGTTTTAAAGTTTTAGTGTTGGTGTCTTTTATGAGTTCTGCAAGTTTTCTGGCATAATATCTTCAGATATTGCCTGTGCCTATTCTTTCTTACATATATTTTAGAATTTTTCACATTTTTACTGTATTATTCTTGTCTCTTCTTTGTACTTTTATATTTTTTCTCTTTGACTTGCTGACCTGCATTCTCAGTAATTTCTTTAATCTGATCCTCCGTTTCATTAATTTTTTAAAGCTGGGTCTAATATGCTGTTAAACAGTTATTCATTGAATTTTTTGAATAAACTTTTATAGAATTCAAATATATCATATAGAAAACTGCTCAACTCTTAGTTCACAGCTTGATACATTTTATAATAAACCTACCCCTGTTGCCTACATCTGAATCAAGATCAAAAATATTACCAGCACCCAGGAGATCTTCTCTAGTTCCTTGCGAACCTCTTTCTTCAGATTCAAACTGCATCTTGACATTTAAAACCATAAATTAATTTACCCGTTTTTGAACTTTGTAGCACTTTATTAAATTTTTACTTATGATATTCTTTTCATTTTGATTTATTTATTTATTTTTCTTTTTTGCGGTACGCGGGCCTCTCACTGTTGTGGCCTCTCGCATTGCGGAGCACAGGCTCCAGACGCGCAGGCTCAGCGGCCATGGCTCACGGGCCCAGCCGCTCCGCAGCATGTGGGATCTTCCCGGACCGGGGCACGAGCCCGCGTACCCTGCATCGGCAGGCGGACTCTCAACCACTGTGCCACCAGGGAAGCCCTTGATTGATTTTTAAAACTCCTTTTTATTCATAATTTTCAAGGCTTCTTTGTGTTTCTTGATACATGAATCATTTATTTTATATTATTGTCTAATTCTTTAATCAGCCTTACTTGTGAGCAAGGATGTTCAATTTCACCAGTTTTGAAATGCCTCAAGCGATTTGTTTTGTTTACCTCTGAGTTTCTGGCTTCTCTCATTCCATGGCATTAATAGTCTTTACTTTTTGGAGAAACTCATTAATGATTTTAAGGAGGTATTGTGTGTGTGCGTGCGCGTGTTTGTGTGTGTAAACAAATATAAGTTTTAATCATACTATGTGTTACATATAAACATTTTATAAATACATTCATCATTTTCATTTGTTTTTAGTGCAAGGGTCATTCAGGGAATGAAATCTACCATTGTTTCTGGAAATAGAATCCCCCAGTGAGGTTAAAGATGTTATGACAATATTATAGCCCCCCCTTAATGGATTTTATGAAAGGACTGATGTGTACTACCGTACTATTTGTTATCTCTTCAATACTCTTTTCAAATCCCTCTTACTCCTGCAGCGTTCCTGCCAACTTCAACTGTTTGTCCTTTTCATTTGATAAATTGTTTTATTCTTATCTTGTTTTTCCAATATATTATGAATGTCTTAAGAACTACAGAAGTCTCCATCTTTAAAGCATAAGATGTTATTATATTCTCTGATTTTTTTTCCAGAACTGATGAGTTAGAATCTTAGT